ATTTTTTTAGCACCTGACGGCTCTTTTTTGCTTCTCATCCGTAAATACTCTGCATACTCTTTCACGTGATTCAGTTTATTTTGAAAAGTCTCAACAGGATCTTGAGCTTTACTGTGAAAGGTTTATGTAGAAAATAACCAAGCGGACACGCGATGGTTTTACTGTCACTATTGCTAACGACAACGCATAAAAACACGTGCTTGTCCATCCGTAGTGTGGTTATATTAAATATAAGAGAAAGAGAGAACTTTAAGAAATTAATATAGCCACTGTCACTACCCGATCCGTACCGGAAACCCGATCGGTACCACGCATGTGCAAAAGGCCACTAGTTCCGCTCGAAGCATTTTACGATAGTTACGGGTCAGAGTGTCTGTTAAGATGTTAAGAATAATAAGTATCTCTTAAAATGTTTGCAATAATGAAACATTTCAATATAATGTAGACAAAAATGAAAAATAAAAAGATAGTTACAGATCAGGACTCGCCGATCCTTACTGCGCATGTGCAGTACCTTTTTGCGATGGGGATATTGAATCAACAGAACATTTATTTTGTGATTGTATATTCTGTAAAGCCCTGTGGATCGATGTGCACTACTGGCTTTTCCCAAAGATTCCAAACTTACTTGAATTTTCTAAAAATGATTTTATCTTTGGATCTCTAAGAAAAGAAAAGAAGCTTGAAAATGTTTTAAATGTAGTAATTATTATGGGTAAATTCTTCATTCACAAATGTTGTTTTCTGAAAACAAAGCCGTCCTTTTATATTCTTCACAAAGAGCTCTGCCTCTTCTTCTCATCTATAAAGTTTATGGACAAAAAACAAGCTCTGGATCTGTATCATATGATTAATGAAATAAATCTGTTAGAAAAACCCCTAAGGTATAATCTCTTTTATGTCTTTTAGTTATCTTTTGTTTTGTTTTTGTTTGTTTGTTTTCTTTGCTTTTGCTTGGGGTTTTATTTATTTATTTGTTTGTTGTTGTTTGTACTTCCTGTTCATATAGAAGATATCTTTTATATGTTGGAATACAGCTTGTTCTGATACTATTTCAAGTTGGAAAAAAAAATCTTTGTAGAGATTGCCATATTTGTTGTACATTATATTTTTGTGCAATAAAAAAACCCCAAAACATAACTGTCGCAATGTTGGCAAAGAGAGGAAGTGACGTAAGATTTGCACATGTGGTACCGATCGGGTTTCTGGTACGGATCGGGTAGTGACAGCCACTACGGTGACCATCAAAACAATGAAAAAATATAAACAGTTTATTTTGCGACACCACGAAACAAACGATAGCATAAAATGAAATGATAGACGTTTTTATATCGTCATCCGATATATATCGTTATATCGAACAGCCCTCTTCCTGGCAGCTCCATCTTTAACATCCTTTGGCCAGTATATCCATTATCCCTCCTCTGCACATGTCCACATCATCTAAACATGTTTCTCTAATCCTGCCCATCATGGTTTTCTCAGAGAAAACCTCAACACCTTCAGCTCTGCCTTGTGTGTTTTTTTCAGCATCACCCTGTTGAAATGTACCTCTTCCTTCTCACTCTTGCTGCTGTCCGTCTGTCACAAATCACTCCTAACACTTTCAATACTGCTGGCTCCTTGAACTAGCTTCAACAACTCTTTTGCAAAGCTTCATGATATGGCGTATAACCTTTATCCTCTGTATTTGCTGCATTCTTCATAGCTGTCCTTCATAAAGTACTCAAACACACTATTCTACATTTGTTCATTATATTTAATTTTTTTCCAAAAATTTATCTTTTATCATTATCCTATATGTAGGGTTAGGGTTAGGGTAAGGTTAGAGTTAGCATCTATGATGACTTAGACCTTAAAGGGTTAAAGTGTGTCTAATAACATACTTTAATTTACAAATTAGAAGCATCATTGTACATGTCATATTTATCTTACAATGTTAATAGTCAGAATGTGGGTAATTTTATTAAATTTGAATGGTGTCATTTGGTATCATGACCTATTGGTATGAAAAATGCTTATGTGCTTGTATGAACTCTGGAACCTGGTTTCCAGACAGGAAATACAACTGGAATTTGGCTAAATGCTGGCTGGCTGGCTGGAGCCTGCTCTGATTATTTAGACCCCAACAGAATGCCCTTTAGCTCGCACACAGAATTACTTTGGTTGGTTTCGAGCTGTTCAATTTTCTACCTGCATGCCAATCAGTGCTGTTTGCCAGCATAATGAATAATCCTGGGTATAAAGGTCAATACCTTGCACGGGTTTCATATCTCTCTTTCCAATCTCCAAACACACACACACACACACACACAATTATTTCCAGCAACGTCTGCACTATAAATACCATATGACAGTAAGCTGAAGAAGCATGATGAAACCTAACTCTGCTCTGTGTCCCACCTGCTCCACCCTTAATTCTCCTCTTGCACTCAGTGGAAAGAAATGAAGTCATTTCACTTCATTCCATCTCTGGGATCACCCACCACATTGTTGGAGCATATGGCTTTTATATTGGACTGGTGTGATTCCTTGTGCATGATGGATAGTGTTGCATGTATGCTGCACTGTAAAAAAAATCTCTTCAATTTAGATGACAGATTTTTTTTAATAATCCAAATTAGCATCAAGGGAAAAGCAAATTTGTTCAATGTAAGGCCTTAATAACAATATAAGGACTGGTTCCTTTGGAGCAGGGAGTTTTTGTTTCCTGCTGCCCCCAAGTGCTTGTTCATAGGGTGTTGTCGTTGATTGTTGGGTTTTTTTTCTCTTATTGGAGGGTCTTTAATTTATGACATAAAGTTGCTGTGATTTGGCACTATATAAGGAAAACCAAATTTAATGCTGGGGCCCACACTGGATTGCCCACTGTGCGCTGTGTGAGCAAATGGTAAGTGGACTGAGCTTACTGCACTTTTGGCCGTACTATAAGTTTTTAAATCATGTTAGTGGCATTTAAAATAAAATAAAGTGTTAAAATAAAATGAGTTCTTCATTCATACTTAAGTTTTTATTCAAAAGAAAGATGGATATTTAGATTATATTTACAGAACGGAATTAATTCTAATAGCCACACTGTTTCAATAATGCAAATAATCCAAACTTTAGGGGAGCCAATGTTCTTGTGTGCATTGGCAGTTTGTTTAGGATCATAGTCACACTGAAAAATGACACCATTGTCAATCAGGTGCTTTCCAGATGGCATTCCATGGAGAATGATGATGGTATTTTTTTCTAAACTATAACAGAACCTCTACTGTG